ACACATGCACGTTGTGCGCCACAGCCGACCCGCGATCATCGCGTCCCGATCCCCGCGCTAGTTTGCACACATCTAGGAGACCCGAGACGCACGCCCGCATGACCCCAGACGCCCGCACCCAGTCCTAGCAGACGTAGGAGTCCCACAACCACACGCGCCAGTCCTCCTCGCTGCTGACCCGCGCCCGCGACATCCGTATAATCGTTCGCGACGCGCCCTGCCAGCGAACCCGTTTGCCTGTTCGCACGTCCCAGCCCGACATGCACCCATTCGTGACCAGCGCCCGTCCGCGACCATTAACCAAGCCCAGTTGCTGCACCACCGACCGAGAAGAGCCCAACCGAGTCTGACTGAGTCAACCCAGGTCCGACTGAGTCAACCAGTTGATCCGAACCTGACGAGGCTTTGACCCAGTGATCCGTTCGTGACCCGACAACTCTACTAGGATCGAGAAAGGCCAAGTCCACTAGCTCATCGGACTCTAGTGTTCAGACAATCTCCATCAACGGAAATCAGAAACGTCTTAGAGTTGGCAAAAAAATTTAAATGGTAATGTCCTAACCCTAACTATAGGTTCCGCTGCGTTAGAGTTTATTTTGCCAAATTCAAACATGCATGTTGTTGACGTTCCTAACAGAACCCAACAAGGTATTGATTTTCAAACACCCAATTGAGACCCACCATGACTTTCTCTTGATCCTCCTTGCAGCCGAAGATGAATTGAAAAAAATTGGCACTCAGCTCCTTCACTTGAATAGGTTTGGATGTTTGCCATAGCATCCCCATGGTCCATCGAACTCCAAATACATTAGCTTTCCTATCACCAATGATTTTCCCCAGAAAACTGCGACTACATTCTTCTTGACTAACTCGAACATCCTCATCTTCCAACTCCACAATGATCATCTCCTTCGTTGATAATTTGATATTTTGCAGTCGTGCACCCAACTCATCCTTCATTCTTGCCCCTAGAATACAAACCCCTAATTTGAAACCCTAATATGTGCGCGACACCTCCTCTAATACCAAACTATCAATAAACCCTACTCCCACCAACTTAGGTAATAAGACTATCTCCTCAAAGGCAGTGGCAGATTCACATTAAGTCCAGCCTAGGCAATTGCCTAGGCTGAACCTTACTGCTAAACATAAACTTATACTACTTTATTTGATAATATTTGTGTAAGAATGGCGGAATGGGGAATCATTGCAAAGATAAGCCCTCACTTGTTCGTTTCATCTTGCTCCAACATTTATTTTTTAATTAATTGGTCATCAGACTTTTGGGCTTTTCATTTTTTATTACTATTAGATGTTAATTGATGGTCTTTTACTTTCAAAACTGTAAATAAAAAAAAAATAAAAAAGAAAATAAAAAGAAAAAGAAAGACAAATGGATATGCCACAAATTGTTATTATGATTTTTTTCAGTAAGCTTGCTTATTATTAAGATTGTTGCTTTTTTTTTTTTCTTCTTGCACTGTATGTAATCTCAACTGAAGATTTAGTTGTCATAAACTTAAGAAATATTATAAGAAATAATTTTTTTTTTTTTTAAAGAAAATCTAACTTTACATCTTGATAATCAATAGGAACTTTAGACTATAAAAATTTGGTGGGGATACTAATTCAATAAGATTCATTTACTTGTTTTTACAGGTTCAAATTTTCGATCAGAAATAACATAGATTACTTGGTAGATGTATTATTTAGAGTTGTCTGTTCAATGGAAAATAGTAGTTAGATCTTTACTAGGAGCCATCACCTATCAAAAAGTGCTAAATTTGGTTAATATAGGATATCATCATTAAAATAGGTAAATTTTTCATTAATATGTATATTTTATTCTAATTTTTTGCCCATGCTCACGAAAAAATTCTGAATCCGCCGCTACTCAAAGGCCCCTGCTCCTTAGATCGATAAAACACAAAAGACAACGAACTCTCCGACAAGAGAATATGCTCTCTGATGAGAGAATAAGACTCTCCAATGAGAGAATCTTGCTTTATTAACGAAAAACTTATTTGATGACAAAGACAAAATTGCATAGGAAATTTTTTTGTTTATTTTTTTATTTGTTTATTTTTATTTTTTTTTAAATAATGCAAGTCAAACATCATAATAGGCAATAATCCAATTTTGGTCCGCTAACTTGTCCATTTTCCACTTTTGGTACACTATCTTTCACCTCATAAAAATGATCCATTGTGTTACACCATTCATCAGTTTTAGTACACTACTCCAGTTGGCGGGCTTACGAGATGACGTGGACCGAGATTGGGACTACGCGGAGGGATAAGGTATTGACGTGGTAGGATAAAGACCTGATTTGACATCTCGTAATCCTGAGCACGAGATTAGTGTACTAAAGGGGTGTATTTAATTGGGATTTATAAAGACTTTTAAAAACATTTTAGGACTTTAGAAATCCTGGTGTATTTAATTTGGACTTCTCAAGACTTTTAAAAGTCTTGGGGTATTCAATTAGGATTTTAAAAAGTCTTACAAAATCTTGGACTATGTATTTAATTGGGATTTATAAAGATTTTTCAAAACTTTTTAGGACTTTAGAAATCCTGGTGTATTTAATTTAGATTTCTCAAGACTTTTAAAAGTCTTGAGGTATTCAATTAGGATTTTAAAAAGTCTTACGAAATCCAGGTGTATTTAACTAATTTAAGGTTAGGATTTATAAGGACTTTTTAAGATTTGCTGGGATTTCTAAAGAAAAAAACATGTAGGAAATCCCACTACAAATCCCACCTTTAGACTTGGTATTTTATAGGATTCTTTTAAAATCTGAAAATCCTCAAAAATCTTAAATCTTAAAAAGTCTTTAAATGTCACTCGAATTCCAAAACGAATACACCCCCCTAAATTATTTGAGACTCGGATTTGTAAGGACTTTTTAAGATTTGCTGGGATTTCTAAATAAAAAAAACATATACGAAATCCCATTTGGTATTCAGTTTTTGGAGGAATCCTGTGAAATACCAAGTCTAGAGGTGGGATTTGTAGTGGGATTTCGTATATGTTTTTTTCTTTAGAAATCCCAGCAAATCTTAAAAAGTCCTTACAAATCCGAGTCTCAAATAATTTAAATACTCCAAGATTTTGTAAGACTTTTTAAAATCCTAATTGAATACCCCAAGACTTTTAAAAGTCTTGAGAAATCCAAATTAAATACACCAGGATTTCTAAAGTCCTAAAATATTTCTAAAAGTCTTTATAAATCCCAATTAAATACACCCCTTTAGATGAACAGTGTAACATAATGGACCATATTTTATGAGGTGAAAGATAGTGCACCAAAAGTGGACAATGGACAAGTTAGCGGACCAAAATTGGATTTTTGTCCATCATAATATATCAAATAAAATTGCTACTCACCTACATATGTATTTCTAACCATAAATATTTTAAATTAGTTTATTTTTATTTCATAAAACTTTTAATTTATATTTTTATATATTCAGCTACATTTATTTATTCATTTAATTTAATTTTTTTTTTTAAGTTTTTCATGTCTATCTCTTGAGATGATTTATTTACTAATATTTATTCAAACGTAAAATGAAAAATGAGAGAAAATCAAAGGCAAATATACGGATATAACCTTTGCAGTCGCACTTATCTACAGCACTGAATAAAATTCGACTGTTTCGTCATATATATAAACCTTACGCCTTTCGAAATTCAAAACAATTCATCAAATTCGTTGAACCGCGCTTTCGCTTGAACAGCTCTCTACCCGAAAAAAAATCCCTCTCTCAGTCGAAAATGTTTGCATTCAAGTATGATCCGTATCAATATTTCACTTTGAAGCTGGATGATTGTTCAGCAATCAATCCTATTTCCATGACTGCTAACTTTTATTTCCGATTTTCTGGCGTTGAATTTTGAGCAACAGAGCTGAAGAGCAGAGCCAGCTGCAGATCGTGGAAAGAGAAGAGATCGAAGATGAAGAAGAACTGTTCGAAGCAATTGACAAACGTAAGGAAATCTAGAACTGTCACTCTGTTTCGTGTGTGTGAGATTTTCAATTTTCATCGCCAAATCTAATTTATGTTGTTTGGTTGATTTTGATACGGAATCGGTTGAATCCAAAAATTTTCTGCTGGAAAATTGAAATATAGTTTGCTTATTCATATTTTCTGTTTCTTTAACGCGAGTTTTCTGTTCCAATTCTTAAAACTGATCGTGTTTTGGCAAATTTGTTTACATTTTGATCGAATGTCTTTCCCGTTGTTCAGTGAATTCTCCTGATTTTTCTGTGCGTATATGTAATGGTTCAAGTGCAGTAGTTGTCACTGTTTATAGAATGTTGTTTTCTGATTGTCATGTTTGAATAGAGCGTATGGATAGATCTGATCTCATGTCAAACATATTTCTGTCTCCAATGTAAATCAGTTATGAATAGTAGTCTCTATGCGTTCCATATGAAGAAAATCGGTTATAATTTTCGGGAAATGGTAAATTGTAACTGCTTGTGTATGTGCATAGTTCTATGCAGTTGGTATAATGATATCTATTGCTTTATATTTTATTACATCACCTTCACACTATGAAGAAATCCTCAATCGTACTCTATGTTATTTGGGGTGAATGTTGCTATGTTAATCTGGAACTGGAAATTTATTGCAATCAACTGCAATTTAATCCTGTTGATTTTCTTACGAAAATGATCGTCTGTTAAAATGTGGTCTCACAAGGCAGTGATATTGCTTTAATAGCTACTTTACTTATGCAGTGACAGCTCATGGAATCAATGCTGGAGATGTGAAGAAGCTGCAGGATGCTGGAATCTATACGTGCAATGGTCTAATGATGCACACGAAGAAGGTGAGAATTGAGCTTACCACTGTATTATATCTTCCGTATTGGTTGCAACACATATTTTATATGTAATTTCCATATATTTCAAACAGAATCTGACTGGGATCAAAGGACTGTCTGAGGCAAAAGTTGATAAGATCTGTGAAGCTGTAGAAAAGATAGTGGTTAGTGGTTTTGCCTAATAATTATTACCATGAGAAATATATCAAGCTTTGGTGTTTTCTGATGCTGTTTGCATTGCACTTTCGATTTTACAGAACTTTGGTTATATTACTGGAAGTGATGCTCTGTTGAAAGTGAGAATCTTAGTTCCCTTTTACCTATACAATGAAATAATTTTGAAATACTGTGCTGTGGCTGATTGTTTCTTAGAAATTGACATGTAAATGTTCTTGGTTGTACAGAGGAAATCAGTCGTTCGCATCACAACTGGAAGTCAGTCTCTAGATGAACTCTTAGGGGGTAATATTGTATATTCCTTTTTTTCTGTTCCTTTAAACTTTATCATCATGGTATGCCCGTAACTCATTTAAGGCCATGCTGAAGGTGGCATCGAAACTTCGGCAATCACAGAAGCTTTTGGGGAGTTCAGGTAAAACACTGTCTTATACACTGCCTCGATCACCTAAATTCAAAACCTTCTGTTTGTGTGTCTCTTGCTGCTAATGAATTTGCTGTATTCTTATTACTTCAAACAAAAATTGACTCAGATCTGGAAAAACACAGCTGGCTCACACTCTCTGTGTTTCCACACAGGTGATATGTCGACACAATTTACCTTATTCTCTTTTAAGAAGGAAATTAAAACTGAACCACACATAATCTATTCTAAAAATGATTTTCCAAATGTTCTACATGCATTTCTAAGCTAGTGTTTAGCTTTGTAACCTTATCCTTCTGATGCATTCGGAATTCGCAGCTTCCAACTAGCATGAAAGGAGGAAATGGGAAAGTTGCTTACATCGACACAGAGGGGACATTGTATCCTTAGCTGATAGTCTATTCCCACCATTTAGCTTAAGATGCTGCTTAACCCTTGTTGTGATAAAATCCATTTATATTTCCATGTCGTTACTCCTTTCTCTTGTTATCCTTAAATGAATCGCACTTGCAGCCGACCGGATCGAATCATACCCATTGCTGAAAGATTTGGAATGGACCCAGGAGCTGTGCTTGACAATGTAAAGCTAAAACTCTCATGTGTTGTTGTGTTGATCAAATGATTTCTGGTAGTGATTTCTCATTTTTTTTTTCTTGTTTCTGTCTTTTACTTTCTGAAAGATCATATATGCCCGTGCTTACACATATGAGCATCAGTACAATCTGCTTCTTGGTCTAGCAGCCAAAATGGCTGAGGAGCCTTTCCGTCTTCTGGTGAGCAATTCTAGCTCTCTTTTTGGCAAATGATGACATCACCTAATGGCGGTGACAGTTCCTGAGGTGTTTGGGCAATGTGATTTCAGATTGTTGATTCGGTAATAGCCCTTTTTCGGGTTGACTTCACAGGCAGAGGAGAACTTGCAGAACGTCAGGTATGGCCCCTGCTACCAAAAAATTGTATCTCTTCGTTCAAAAACTCTGAATACTTAAAGAGTAAATCTCGAGCTCTCTTGTTCTGTATTTTCAGCAAAAATTGGCTCAGATGCTCTCGAGGCTGATGAAGATAGCCGAGGAATTCAATGTGGCTGTCTACATGACCAACCAGGGTATATCCAAACTCTGTGTATTTGCTTAAAATCAGAGAGTAATAGAACTTGAATTGTTTCATGATTTTGATCTTCCACATAGTTTGCTAAAAGCGAAAAGAGGCTTCATTTTTTTTTTTTTTCTCCCAATGATTCGCAGTTATTGCTGACCCTGGAGGGGGAGTCTTCATTTCTGATCCTAAGAAGCCAGCTGGTGGTCACGTCTTGGCCCATGCAGCCACCATAAGGCTCATGTTCAGGAAAGGCAAAGGCGAGCAACGTGTCTGCAAGGTGTTTGATGCCCCCAACCTTCCAGAAGCCGAAGCAATATCCTTTTTTTCCCAGAAATCATTATATTTCTTAATTTATTCTGCACGCGTCATTTTTTTTTTCATGGCTTTTTTGCACCTTATCGTTTATTTCCTTAACAGAAGTAAGTTTTCCAGATAACTCCAGGTGGAATTGCGGATGCAAAGGATTGAATCGACTGTTTCTATCTCTTTAAGCTTTAGTTATTGGAAAATGCAGTTGTCATATTTAGTTTTGCTTGATTGCTACTTCGGAGTGTGAAGCTTTATGCCAAAACAAAGTTGCTCTCACTTATTGCTTTGCTGGGAAAAGTGTTACGATGCTACTTAATTGGTTATGGATTGAAATGCAAGTGTTTTAGTTAGTATCTCATGTGTGCTCTGTTGTTCCTAGCAGATGGAAATGCATATCAATGGCTTCCCAAACATTTCAAATATAGTTTTTCACCAATGGTTTCTGCTTGAGCTCACTTTGCAAAACTCGTTGAAATTTCGTAATTCAGGCTGAGACTGTAAAACAAGTCATTATTGGGAGCTGAACATTGTGATTTTAAAAGATATTAAATTTCATTTGAACTACAAACTCTGCTTTTGGATTTGTTAGTAATTACTCGTGACTGAAAACTCAGTACTGTTTAAATACTTAATATTGCAACTATATGAACATCCTAATGCATAAAAAGATTTGTTGCTTCACTTTCATCGTTACCATTCCCGACTGATTGGGAGCGTCCCTTTGAAAAGCAAAAGAACCTATAATGGATACAAAAGATTGAATCCTCTAACATGTACTGATAAGAGTAGAGATGTATAGAGTGGCAGAAAATCCCATACATACCCAACAATGTTAAAAAAAAATATCACATATAGACCCCCTAAGGCCCTAACACAGGACCTCCTATAAAATTTGGGACAGGCAGTCCAATGAATACCAGTTGAGTGTCTTTGTCGTCCCTCTCCAACTTTCACATGGAAACATATAATCTTTTCAGGGGGGGCAATTTCATCAAACACGGTTATATGCGACTGACTTGCTGAACAAGCGACGTATGTACACAACCTGAATCCCGCTCACGAGTGCAAGCAAAAGGTATTCCCCAACCGTGTAGAATATCACACGCTTCCTTGTGCTTTCATTTGCTGCGACAACAAACACACTTCAGTGTTAATAAACGGAACATATACACCTTATGTACAAGGAAAAATATCCAACCACAGGTGTCTCCTTCATTAGTATCTCACCAATACAAAATGACATACCCCATAAACCAGCCGTATCTGCTAATTTTCTAGAATACAGTCTCAAGAGCTAAACAATAAAAAAATTACTGCACAATATAATAAACAATTGACTACTGATAAAGAAGGTTGATTGAGCCCATCCAATGCAGTTGGGCATTTTATCATCTCTGGGATAGGTTTATGAGAATGTACAATATTTCTTGCACAGTGGTCGTGTGTACACTCGATATCTATTATACAGACCAATCAAGTTGTTGATTTTATCCACATTCTAGTGCCAAATTCATACATGTCGTTAAGATACTTGATAACCAAATGTAATAAATTCTTTGAAAGAATACCCTAATAGGGAACAAAAAAGAGTTAAAATGGAAAAAAAAATATATGTAGAAAAAGAAAAGAGGACTCTTACTATGTCGATGACGTGCATCACGTGCTTTCAAGTACTTCTGCTCTGCAGTAACAGACTCAAGTGACTCCCGCAATTCAGCGATTTTAACATTAATGGGGTCAAGATGCTCTGTAAATGTTGTAACAGGTGGGATAAAGAGAAGAACAACAAAGTTTTATTATTAGTGAACCAAAAATGTGTAACAGAATATCAAGAATGCAATAACATCAGTTGAGACATACCATCCTTCGCCAGGTCATGTTCGGAGGGAATATGGCCAGCATGAATGTAGAAAGAGACTGTTTCGGGTGTGGATTGAGGATTATGGAAACAGAATTTGTACATTCCACTTCTAGGAGCCTTAAACTCGAATTTATCCCCAGATGTTCCTTTCAATGTGTGTACAGTATTACCCGATGGAGATGTCACCTACATCAACCAAACCAACCAAACCATCAATTAGTTTGAGCTACACACATTAGTTCTCTCAGAGATTATAGTTGTCCTTATGTCAAGCTATGCAAACACCTACCAAGTTGGCTCCCAAATCCCTCCCTAAAAGAGAGTCCAAGTCATCTTGCGGGTGTAAATAGGAACTTTTCTTAGTAGGCAAAAACATGTGAACTTTGAAGTCTGAATACATAAGCCCCAAAAGAAACAACACTAACCCGTCCAACATCCAAACTTCAGAGAGGCTTATCATCTTTTCTTTTGCAAAGGGTTGCTATTAGCTTCTATAATTAACAACTGCGTCACGACCGATGTTACCAATTCAAGTCCATCGACGTAAATACGGCAACATCTAACTATCAGGGAGTACTTATACTTGCAGCCATTGATCCAATAAACAATGAATTATATACATTGCCAAAAATTCTCTGTTTGTCCTTAAAAAAATCTTAAAAAGGTCTTAAAGAATCCCATCTGCAAACATACTTGTGTTTGAAGAAGACAAAGCTTCAATCTTTCGCCACAAATCGAATTCAATTTCAACAGATGAAGACAAGATAATAGTAGAGATAAGAAACATACAGTAAAGTCAATGCCCGGATGATCATTGCCCCAGTAGATATCATGATCTACGACCACGAAATTCCCGGAAACCGTGTCTCCGTCGTACAATACGTATTCGTATATGCACTCAACGTCGTCCACCGTCACGGACAGTGCCGAGATACGGCTCGCCGTGCTCAAAAGAAGGAGCAGCAAGAAAGAATACGCGGCCGCGCCGCACCAGATAGCTCCACCTTTCTTCTTCATGAAACCGGATCTGGTTTGGATCTCCGGGTTTAATCGGACTTTCAGGTTTTTTTGGACTGAAAGACTAGACTCGGTACTCAGTTGTGTTTCGTCGATGATGATCTTGCTACGCGGTGTCGTTGGACATTGATTGGGTTCTAACACGTGGGCGAACGTTATTGGATGCTTCTACGTGGTCAAGATTTTCAACAATTGCTCTTGATCCTTGGACTTTTCACGCTCTCTTTTAGAATTTTCGTTTCTTTTATTACACTTTTCATTCGATTGAACCAAAAAAAAAAATAAAAAAATTGTTTTAAATGTTAGGCTTAATTTGGTTGGAAGTAAGGCTTCAATTGAGTCGAGTCGAGTCGAGCGGAGCCTTTAACGAGTCGACTCCGGCTCGGCTCATTAAGTAAACGAGTAAAAACTCAGTTCGTTTATCATAATTAACTAGCTGAGTTCAAATCTTAACGAGTCGAATTATGAAAAATTATATAAAATTTCTCTTTTTGAGCTTTAATGGTCCTTATTGAGTCGAGTCCGGCTTTTCAACGAAATGATCTCAAGCTTGACTCGTTAATCAAACGAGCCGCACCAAACTCGAATCTCAACAAGCAAAGTCGAGCTCACGAGCAGCTTGTTTCCTTTATTCCATATTCCATCCACCGTGGGCTGGTTGTTATATCATATTCTTGCTTGAATTATAAATTGTTTTCTTCTTTCATATCCAACCCTCAAAAAAGGCAAATGGCACGAATTCCTTCAAGATATCGTGATTGCTAATACAAGACCGATCTGATGGATTAAAGGTTGTTGTGATCAGGACACTCAATTACTCACTACTCATCTGTTTGCATACATCTCATTTGATGAAAATAAATGTATTTCAATTAGGCAATTATTGCAACAGATGTTGAGATATGATGTATTATTTTTTTTTAAAAAAAAAAAATGTATTAAGTTATGAATCTCTCAATACTTGCAGACAAAGTAGTGGATATGACTGATTATCAACATGATTTGGAAACTACATATGGGATCTACCTTCACACTTTAGTATAATTGTTATACAAGCATGGGGACAAATATATGTATACATTTGAAAAAAAATGTATTAAGTTATAAAACTAGTACGTGTATTACGCGAGTGTTTGTTAAACAAATTATTCTTAAATTTTTAAAGAAAAATGTTTTAAAATTTAAAAATTAAAATATTTACAAATATATATTATTTTAAATTTTAGAATGACACTTGTTAATTGTGCGACTCACATGTATTATATTGTAACAATTTCTCTAACTTGAATCATAGAACTACTTTAAACAAAAAATATATTAACTGATAAATAATTTTATTTTATTATTTATATTAATAAGTAATTTTATTATTTATAAAAAAATAAGTAAATTTATTTATTTATACATACAATATGAATGTCAAATCGAATTTCATCAAGAGATGGTTAATTCGATGTATTATATAAATAAAACTAATAAAAAATACCAAAGTTGTTAGCTTTTAAAATATATTAACAATTCAATAGTTATAATAGGAAATGATATTAAAATACAATTAATACATCTAAAATGACCATAAATAATCAACATCTATATTGAAAGATCTTGTTAGACTAATTTAAAATAGTAACTTTGACTTTCTAATTAAATATGTTGACTTACTAATTAAGGAAATATAGTAAAAAAAAATACGATATATATTTTTTAAAATAAAAAATAAAAATCAAAGTATACCACCTATTGCATATATCATGCAATTCGGTTAATAGCATGACTTTCTTATACATAAAACATCATTTTTTTAAAAAAAAAAAAATTGTAATAATTATCACATTAAAAATTCAGTTTTCCATATTAATGAGGAATCACTGCAATTTCTTTTGCTATTGGTAACAAGCCTAGGTTCTGCGATTATCTACAATATGTATTCAAAAAAAGTGACTTTTAAATAGGTTTTGTTGGTAGAAAATATTATTTGAATGTGCATGATAATATTTACAATATAACTACACAATAAAAATTGAAAATCAATTACGTAAATTTTATTATGATATTTAAAAATTGAAAATCAATTACGTAAATTTTATTATGATATTTATTGCAGTATCACAATCGAATCTTATTTATGACATTAATAACAAATCAATGTGATTTCATATTCATACAATAAAATATAAAGATATTCATATTGAAATGTATTTATTATAAAATAATCCAAAATGGTAATTGGTATATTTATCCTTCATGGATTTAAAAAATTAATGATGAAAATATAAAAATATAAATAAACAATTAATTCTAGGATCATATACATACGATATTAAAAGGATAAACCAAAGGGTCATTTTTCAAATTATCCAATAAAGCAAAAGATTATAAAGAATCAAAATATTTATAATATTTTTTGTTATAAATTGTAATAAAACAATGAGTCATTTGTCGAACTGACATGCATATTATAAGTTTAGAAAGAAAAATCTAAACATTTATAATATATATTGATACAAAATTATGATGACACCCAACGGATATTCTGTCGAACTATCCATGTAAATTATTAACTTAAAAAAAAATATTTATATAAATACATATTGTTATAAACTATAACGATAACCCAACAAGTGATATATCAGACAAACGATGTAAATTGTTCGATCAAAATATTTATAAATTAGTTGTTGTCGAAGTATCATATAAAGTGATAAAATAAATACTTATAATAGACATTAGTATAAATTATAAAGAATAGAATAAAATAATGTTGACGTAATCGATAATTATTAAGTGATTTAACTTTAAAATATTACATATTACATTCGTTTCCAATTAAATGTTATTTATAACGTATGAGTAGGGGAGGATAGAGAGAGAAGTATTATGTAACTATTATTTATTGATAATATTTGAATATGTTAAATTTCATTATCCTTAATTCTAATCAAGAACTATAAAAGTACACCTATTATATAGTGAATGAATTAACATATAAATAATATATTAATTTATTATATAGCATAAAATAAAAGAAAAAATTAATAATAATATTCAAAACTATTTTTATACTAATCAATTTTTGTTAATTTCTTTTATGCATGAAATTTATAATTATTGTCCTGTAAATCGCACGGGATACGTACTAGTGATTATAGATAAATCGAATTTAATTATTTTTGTATTGGAAGTAAATTAAAATATATTGAAGTCAAATCATGAAACATGAAATTTGACACAAAAAATCCTGAATCATGTGAGTCTGCCACATAAGCTCAGTACATACCAAAATTTTTATAAGGGTGATCAGTGATATGTTATATTTTTGGAATGTGAAACCACCATGTGTAAGGAATGTGAACCACCATGTAAAAACATACGAGGTTTTTGATAGAGTTAAGGGAAATCTGGTTGATGGGAAACTCATATATATTACAGAGTCCAATAGTACCAAGCGAGAGGGAAGCCTGAGACCAACCTCAATCTAGTCGCGAAAAAAGGTGTAGCAGCATGCAGGTGATTGGTCGTAGGTATCTAGAGGTCAAGGAATGATGAAATTCCAATCGGTTCGTAACCTGCTAAAAATTTTAAAGTCCTCAAGCCAATCTTCATCGATCTGGATGAAAGTATTGGGTTTGCGAGCTAGAGAGACCATAAGTGGTGCGGTGCTAGTATAAGCACTGGGATGCAAGGGGAATTTAACTAGCTTCTGGTGTGGGTCGGGGAGGAGAGTCGACATCCTCCTCAGGCTCATCAATCAAGCGAAGAGGTGGAGAAGACAAATGAGTGGGTTGAAAGATGAGTTCAATAGAAGAAGAAGAAGAAAAAAAGGGTGAAAAGTGAGGAGGCGAGGTCGAGTGCCCATCGACCACAACGTCAACAAAGTTGCTACTGGTCATGCGAGACTCTAAAAAAAGAAATGAAAAAGAAGAAAAAAAATATTCTAAAGGAGGTGAATTTGAGGGAACAAAAATTGAAGAACAGATATATGAAGAAAATAATTAAACATGAACTAAACCGAGTATTATTGGTATGAAGAAAAAAGACTTACTCATCGACATGGTTGAATGAGAGATGGATCATTTACGGGAAGCAAAAGAGGTGGTCAACGGTACGACAAAGAAGACATAAATTTTTGCAAAAGTTATATAAGCAAGAAAGGTCTAAGCATAGGTAAAAGGAAAAAATGAGAAAGAAGGGGGTATTTATAAGAGGAAAAGGAAGAAGGTGAGAAGGTTAATGAAATTTCACCATCCAATGAAGGTGAAATGGACAGGTAAGATTAAAAATTGAGTAGGCGAAGAGGAAGTCGAGAAAGACCGTTTGATGCAGGTCGGAATGGATTGGAGGGATTAAAAAGACGAGTTGAAGAGACAGGTCGTACATCACAGTCAGATAAAAGTAAGAGCGGGTGGACAAGATTGATACAACATTTAATGGCGTGTCGTTTAAGGAAAGGATGGGAGGCGAGGCGGTTACATTGATAGATATGAGAGGTGTCAGAATGATTTGAAAAGACTTTAGAAATTTGGATTTGAATTTTTAATATTAAAGACCTTATCCTTAGGTCGAATTAGTTATCTTGAACAGAAGGAAGGAAAAAACAACTCGTAAGAGCCTGTTTTACT